GCACAACTTAAGAACAAATCTGTGCGTACGAACGGTTCTTGCATGAGGCCCATTGAGCAGTGACAGAAAATTCTAAGCTCACATTTTGAAAAGTGATTACCTGTTTCTTCTTTGCTGTGAAAGAATAGAAAAAGAAATGTGATGCCATCACAGCCAGGGCTCTGTTGTTTCCTCTGTGACTTTGGTTTGGATGTGAGCGAAACTTTGTGTGATGTAGGACAAACACCCTCCTGATGAGGAATCCCCAGCTGAATGTGAATGTTTACGCGTTTTGATTCTTCATGTCAGCTCCGATAGCAAGAATAGATTCGTCTCTGTCTGTTTAATGACCACTGAATAAAGACCAAATTGCTTTTCTTTTCCTGGTTCCCACACATGATAATGTCTCCCGATTTTTTTTTAAACATTGATCTTCTCTTCATTTTCCAGGCTTTAGCTCAGCTGCAGCTTATCGACTACATCGGAGAGCAGACAGCTCTTCTTATAAAAGTGAGTCTTCCTTTTCTTCACAGCCTCAACTGTCATCACTCAGATGTCCTTGCACCAGTTGATAACTGGGTACAGGTGACATGATATTGATTTTCATGCATATTGATCTATTGGCTGTGCATGGCTCTGAATTCAATTATTTTGTTTACATCTGATTCCTGCCAGCTCTTGAAAGGGTTCCAGGTAAACTTCACCCACATTCCTGCCCCTGTGAATCATGCAAGCGAGTTGCCTCTTAGTGCAGAATTGCACCAGTAATGACTACGTCAGCTCATGTTTAGGCTGCAGTCTCGTTTAGKTCTAATAATCACACGTGACAGATGGTGTGCTGGTCTGGATGCTGAACCTCCTCTGTGTTCCCAAGCATTGGACAAAAGGATAGAATTACACAGCCTTCCTCTCAGTAGGAGAACAGGTGGAAGGAGGAGATACTGCTCCCTTTAACCTGTGCATGTCGCTTAAAGAAGATAAAGGAAGTTCAAACTGCATCGTACTTTATGTCACATGTGGAACTGTCTGAGGTCTACAATRATGACAGAGCCACCACCTGTGGGCCTGTCGCCCAACAGTTTAATCTTCAGAGCTGCCATTCCCTGATGAGAGGTTCAGTGTCATAGACTGATCATAAATAATGTTTTTTAAGCCTCAGTCTGGCTCAGGTAGCAGCTGTTTGCATGTGAGGATTGGTGAAAACAGTAGTTATCTGTCTCTCTGATTATCTCCTTCTGCAGGCAGTGCCAGAAGACCAGCGCCTGGCTGTAGCCATTATTTTAGTGATGTGGGTCTCTGCTTTGGCTTCCTCTCTTATTGACAACATCCCCTTCACTGCCACCATGGTGAGACTTTGTTTTATCATCCACAGAAATACACAAACAAGGCATGGTGGAGATTATAACACAAAAACTCACCTGGATCATAACTTTCTCTAAATAGAAATCAGAATTAAACCTGAAAATGATAAAGAAAATCTGATTTTATGTATCTTCYAAACATTGTTYAAGGTGATGTCTCACTGTGACATGAAATTTTGTGAAAGTTACAGTTTCACCAAACTCTGAGCGACAAAACAACCAGGAAGCTTGTTTAGTGGTGTTCAGAAAGACCATAAAAAAAAAAAAATCTTGATCTTTTTTTGTATGCCCAGTGTGCAGAACTGGCTTTTAGTCAGTTTTATTTTGTTGTTCACCTTACACATCATAACCTCCACATGCATGCTTTGGAAATTAAGACCAGTTTTTGAATAATTATTATTACTGATATGGGCTTTAGATCCCCCTTGATGTGCACACAGCTAGTACTTATGAAAGGTTAATCAACTACCCAGTGGCTCGTGAAGTAGCTCACGAGAGTTTACTCCAGTTAATAGAGGAGTGTTGAGGATAACTCTCAGCTACTTCTAAACAAAATCTTACAATGCAAAAATTTGCCATCTAAAAGTAGAGTCAGTGAAGTTTTTAGGTGTAGTGATAGATGAAGGGCTGACATGGAAACCTCATGTAAATTATTTAAGAACAAAGATGGCCGAATCTATTGCTGTTCTGTATAAAGTAAGGGAGTTTTTTTAATGAGAAAGCACTGTATATGTTGTACAATGCAATAATAGGTCCACACCTAGTTTATTGTATTGAAGTCTGGGGGAAAGCGTGTAGGACAATTACAAATCCTCTTTTTTTATTACAGAAAAGAGCTGTGAGAATTATTACTGGAAAATATTGTCGCTACCCATCAAATTCATTATTTTATAAACTGAAAATATTGAAATTCTCTGATTTGGTTGATTATAGCATCCTACTGGTTATGTATAGGGCCCACAGAAACACATTATCTTTAAATATCCAGGTGGATTTTGTTAAGAGAAAAAGTTGTTATAACCTTAAAGGGACAGATATATTTGTAAAACCCAGATTTAGAACTAGTGTGAGGGAACGGTGTACTTTAATTCAAGGAATAAGACTGTGGAATGATTTGAAGAGTGATGTTAAAAATGCAGCATCATTGTGTACATTTAAGAAAATGATAAAGGTTCGATTGTTAAAAAAAATATGAAACAGTATGAAATGCACTTACAGTATATTAACTGTTATTCTAGAGGGATTAGATGTTCTTGTCTTTTGTTTTGTTAATGAT